GCTGGCCTTCTGCGTGTGCTTTGTTGGCGCTTGTTGGGTGACAAGTTGGTGAGTGCCCCTTGTTTGCCTGATGCCCAGGCAACGTCATGTCGAGCCGTGAAGAGGTCCTGTTTCGCCGCCCAGGTGCTCCTGTTTGCTGCAACTTTCCACCACTCGGTTGACCCCGCTGTGTTGCAGATGTGTCTCTCGGTGTCCATGTGCGGGTTGAATTGTCCGGCGTGTGTGGCGCCTGAGTTGCCAGGCATCTGCTTTTGCTGTGTCCACCAGTGCATGCCTCTCCACGTGAGGAGGTCCCTGGTGACGGTGTCCTCCGACCGTCCAACGTGTCCCCAGAGCCCCCAGACTGCTTCCAGGGCTCTGGTGCTCCATCTTGGGCACTCCAGCTTGTGCAGGAGAAGTCTGGTCTGCCGCAAAGATCTCGCGTTCCACGCCACCCAGTCCTCTCCCGGTTTTCTGGAGATTTTGAGCATGGTCCGTGCCTGCTGGAGTTGGATGGTGTTAGCGCACTTCAAGAGAGAGTCGTGTATGGGCCAAGTGGGTGCTCCCCACAACGCCGCTTCTCTGACGACCATGTTGTGTACTTTGAGGCGGCTGGCCAGCGGGGTGTTGGCACAGAGGGTCTTCCTGTTGGAGTAGAAAGCTTTGCGGGCCCTGGTCGAGAGTTCCGCTGAGAGGATGGCTGGTCCTCCTGCAAAGGAGACCGGAGAGCCCAGTACCATAATGGCGTGTGTCGGGCCGCTCGTTGTCACCGGGTGTCCCCCGATCTTGAAGGTGTGCTTGCCTTCGTTGGCGATTGCGCTCGTCTTCTTGTGGTTGACAAAGAGGCCATGAGTAGCGAAAATCTTTTCCAAGATGTCCATGACCTGCTGGACGTGGTTCGGATTCTCCCCCCACGCGTACACGTCATCCATGTACCCCGCTGTGCGGTGCGGGGGTGGTGGCTTTTTCTTATCGGGTCCCCATGCGCAGATGGTGACTTCCGATGCCGTTTGGAGCAGAGCGTCTCCCACCAGAGCCGAGAACGCAACCGGCGAGTCTGGACCTCCTTGACGTACTCCGTTGCTCTGGCGAATTCGGATGGTGGTGTTGCCGAACTGGATGTCCATCTGGGAGGCGTGTAGTAGTGCCAGCCAAATGCGTGCTTCCCACGGGTGCCCCTGCCTTCCAACGTGTGTGGTGACCAGTCGTCCCATACTCGTTTGGGTGGCGCTGTCAAACGCCTTCCTCACGTCAATCTTGACGATGAAGAAGGGTCCCCCCCAGTCCCGCGCCATCTGCGCTATTTTGCGTATCGCCAGTAGCATTTCTACTGACTGGCGGCCTTTCGCACACCACTGCAGTGTACATACTGGTCTGAAGAGGTGTTGTGTGCGTCGCAGGACCAGTTGTGCGATCCATTTGAGAATCGCCGACGAGACGGTAATGGGGCGGGTGTCTGGCCATCCCTCCGGGGTCGCGGTCTTAGGTAAAAGGACGGTGACGCCCTTCTCCAGCAGCTCTGGGAGGGTGCCCTTGTAGAAGATGTCGTTGATGAGGTAGACGATCCTGTGCATCCAAGTTTCATCTCGCAGTAGCCGGCTGAGTGCCTCGTGGATGATCCCGTCGGGCCCCGCCGCTTTTCGGCGCGGCCAGCGCCCTTCTGTCACCTGAAGCTCCTCTTGTGTGAAGGGGTGCCACGGAGTTTGCTTGCAGAGGTGCGCCAGCTCGCGCTTCATCTCCGTGATCTGCAGAGCTACTTGCGTCGGGTCCTCCTTGTAGAAGATGTCCTCGAAGTGGTGCTTGAGGGTACCTTGCCAGTTGGCGTCGTCCAGCAGGTAGTGCTCCCACTCTCGGGTGCGCAGGAGGTGCTTCTGCGCCCTATACGAGCGCCAATCCTGCTTGCTGGCGGCTTCGTTGAGTTTGGTGTGCCACTGCTTTTTCTCCTGCCTGTGCGTGGCCTGGACCTCTTTCCATGCTGTCCTTCTGGCGGGCCCCGGCGGCGTGCGCTGTGCTTCTCGCCTGAGTTGTCTGAGCTTTTTGGTCTCGTCGAACCTGTCCATGGCTCTACCTGGGTTCGTCATAGCTTTGCAGACGGCCGCCAGTTGATGGTGTGCATCTCCGTGTAGGAAGTGCCCCCGGCTCAGTGTGTCCTGGAAGTCGTGCCGGAGATGTCGGGGTCCCCACGCTTTGTGGAATTGTTTCTGCTCGACTCGAACGGGGAGGTTCCCAATGATGGGTTCATGGTCTGAATGCGCTCTGTCTCGGTGGTCTCCGACGTGTCCTCCTCCCAGGTGGATGCCCCTGCAAACCAGGTAGTCAAGGCGCCGGGGGTTTTGTCCTGAGTACGGGAAGTGAGATGGCAGGTGCAGTTGCTGCTCGGGGAACCTAAAATCTCCGTCTGACAGCCAGGTCAGGATGGTTTCCCCTCTGCCTGTGTGCCCTTTCGGGAAAGCAGACGCGCTCTCCGAGTGTGAGAAGATTTCGTTCGCATCCATGCCCACGATGGTCTTGTGCTGTCGCATTGCTGGGCAAGTATCGAAGTCTGCAAGGATGGTCGAGGTCTCGTCTACGGTGGCATGGTGTGGCACGTGGATGCAGATTACCCCGAAGGTGGTTTTGTCCTTGCTGAGTACCACCGAGCTGCCTTTAGGGTGAATGGTCGCGCTGTGGTGTGCAAACGAGCTGCGAAAAGCTATTGCTGTGCCCCTCCACTCTCCTGCCTTTTTGCCGCAAACCAGGGCCCAATGGCCATCGTCCTCAAAGAAGATGCCCGCCTCCACGATTATTTCCTGGAGGATGACCACAATCAGCTTGGATAGCGGCGGCGTGCCGGGCATCGAGGTTTTGTGCCCTTCAAAAGCTTTGAGGAATTCCAGCACCTTAGGTGGCGTCATCCCTCCTAAATTCCAAGTGCCAAGGAGTTGGTGCCCCAATGTTTTTGGGCGCGTACTGGGGTGAGACATGTTGCCCATGTCCTGGGCCTCTGCTTCGTGTCACTTAAGGGCGCTGGCCAGTTGCTGCCAGTGCGTCTTGATCGTGCTCAAGTCCGTCTTGATCTTGTCCGCGATCGTCTGGAGGTCGATCCATCCTTGGGACCCCGTCGTGCTGGAACCGGTGGGTGCCCCGGCGTTGATTGCCGAGGCCACTCTGATACTTTTGTACCACACTTGTCCCGTCGAGTACTCCGTGTCTACGTCTTGTGTGGCGGCTCCGAGTTCCATGAGGAGTCGTTTGCACTTTGCCGCCACCTGGACCTTCCTGCGCTTCTCCGGTGGCTGCGAGATGTTGAGGAAGAGCTTGGCAGGTGCTCCGTCGGGGCGGGTGCCCACCGTCACATTGGCGTTCCTGACCTGTCGGATGCACGCCTGCACGCGGGTGCGCTGCTGGTCATCGGTTTCACCTCCTTTTTTGTGTAAGGGGATGATGCAGTACCCCCTGCGCAATCCGGGCACGAAGGCGTCCTGAACGTCTAAGTCCAGGCGAAGGGTTTCCACCAGCTTGGTCGCCTGATCGATCACTTTGCTGGCTTCTGTGTCCGGGTGAAAGCCGCCCATGATCATGGCTGGTGCCCTGCCTTTGGTTTGTTCTTCACCACTGGGTTCACTGTTCTCGAGCTTTGCGAGGCGGGTCTCCAAGGTCTCCAGCTTGTCTTGCACCTGGTCCATCTTAGTTTTGTGTCCTTCCACTTCGGTGGTGATGTCGCGCAGCTTGAGCGTGTGCTCCACGAGTTGGGTCTGCACCGTCTGTTCTAAGGCTCCAACCCGGCTATTGACCTGTCCCACGGCTATAGAGAGTTCTCCGCGGAAGAGGTCGCGAAGGGCTTCCATCGTGATCCCCCCCTGTGGTGGCTGCGCCTCAGTGCGTCCCTTCTTAGCTGGTGACATGTCCAGCAGGTCTCGTCCCTCTGCTCCCGTGGCTGCGGTGGCGACTGTGGATGCTCCTGGGGACTGGGGTTCCAAGACCATATTGACATCCACGGGTCCCCCGGATCCATAGGGCGCGGAATGCATTCTTGGTGTCGATGCCCAAGTCACGATCTTCAAGAGGGTCCCTGCACTCTCCCAGCGTAGGGTTCGAGGGGCGGGTCGCCTTGGGCGTACAGGTCCTGTAGGGTCGCCGAGTGCAGTCAGGTAGCAGATGACAAAGTCCCTAAGGTCCCTGACGGCAGCGGTCACCGTCGTGCTGCGTTGCACAACGAGTTCCCCTGCAAAGGCGATGTGCTCCGTCAGCGGTGTGGTTCTCCTTCTTGGCGTGCAGCAATCGCTGTGGCGGAGCAAGCGAGGTGGCAGAAAGCAGGCGCCCGGGTTGGAGGTCCCCCGAGGTGCAGCGAAGAGAAGAGGACAGAAGAGAGGGCAAGAGAGAGGGGGGCGGAGTGCACCTCAGGGGCCTTGAACCACTCACGGCTTGAGCCAAAATGGCTCTCTCTCTCTCTCTCTCTCTTTCTTTCGCCAGGGCTAGGGTGTAGGGGTTTGACCCCCTACACCGCGCGCGTTAGCGCCCCCGACAGTTGCGGGTGGCAGCGGAGAGACATGCGCACAACACAAAGGCCTCTCTCTCTCTCTCTCTCTTTTCTTTCTTTCTGCGGGGCGTAGGGGTCGATCACTCGACCCTCAGGCCTTTGGCCCGCCCACCTCTCTCTCTCTCTCTCTCTCTCTCCTCTTTAACTCCAGAGCCTGACTCGCTTCTCATCTTTCAGACGAGATGCTGACGTCCATGACATCGCATCACGTGACGTGCAAACTGCAGCTCGGGCACAGTTGGATCCAGGCAGCACTGCTCGCGACTATTTTGTGCCGCTTTGCTGGCTGCGGTTCTGCAGCACATACAGTGGCCTGACTGCAGAAAACCACGATGCACGCAAGCCACCTACGGCACCGACGAGATCAAGCGAATCAAGGCACCCAGCGGCCGACCACCAGCTGAAAGGCATGCAGGCATTGCTTTGCCCATGCTAGTCCAGGTCGCGGTTGGGATGCCCTGCAGGGCACGCTGCGGAGATTTTCTGATACAACTTTCTCGATGCACATCTGCTGTCCTCCAGGGGCCAGTGGCACGTGACTGGGGAGTCCAGCACCAATGCCTCTTCGTGATGTCAACACACGTTCCTTTCGAAAACAGGGGCCCGACCCGGACCCACCTCTCCAAAGCCCAAAAGCGCCACGTGCAAGGCGGCCAAAGAGCCAATGGACCGACCGACGATCACCAAGGGCCCTCTGAAGGCCAGGCATTGCTAGGCTTCTCGGCCAATCCTCCACTCAGATCTCCGCTGAAATCTGTGCCTGGCCTTCTGAGCCGTGTCCGTGCTGCTGCAGCAGCAATGGGAATGCCGCAGCTGCCTCCTGCACTGTTATGCATATGTGAACCTGCAAACGTGAAGTCGCCCGCCCCTCGCTGTGCCTCTGCATCCCGTCTCATGGTGGCCATCGATGGGACCCCTGTCGACCTCTGAGGCACCACGAGAGTTTGTACAGTAGCACAGACGCAAGTTACCGCATTGGGTACATGCTGCACAGTTACCACCCGAAGCCGCGATAGTCCACGAGAAGGACCTTACATGAGAAGTGCTAACATCAACATTCTCGTGCTTGGAAGCTCTGCCTGCGTAGCACATACGGACTGCCGAAACTTGCATCTGTGCTACTGACTGTACAAACTTTCTAGGACCAGGTGTCTGCCTGGCTTCCGCCGCAAAAGGGGCCCTTTGCCATAAAAACCATTCCTGGATCTTGGAGTATTCATGGGGGCATCAGGTTTCTCCCATGTCCCATCCCAGTACAAGGCATCCAGGTTTGTAGCAGTACCAAGTTGGCAAGAAGGCTGTGAGGAGCCATATATCTTGCAAGCTCTCGCACCTGCTAGGCTGTAGCCGAGTCTCATCCGCAACGCCTTCTTCCACAAGCCGCAGGATCTCGGGCGACCTGGCCATCACGCCTCTCTAAGCGCGGCTTGCAGTGCGCTCCGTATCCGACCTCGCAGAGAGGCCTGCGACCTCGGCGTTGCCTCCGAAGCGAAGCACGCGAAGGAGGGGAGCGACCGGAGCAGGATCCTAACGCGACTCACATGACAGGACTACAGGACTCACCAAGCTCAGAGCTCTGGAAATCCCCCCCTTGGGCACTGTCCTTCAGCAGCAGTACCTCAGATGTTCGGAGTTGATCTGAAGCTGTAAAGCCCTTGGCCGTGCGGTTGCCTTGGCCATGCTTGCCCGGAACACAAACGAGCCACGTAGCTCAAGTCTGCACCATCGACGCGCAAGCTGCCCGTCACACGTTGCACACCCAATCCGACAGAGGGGGAACTGCGCACTGCAACCTCCAAGCACAAGCTCTAATAACAGCTCACGATGTCACAAGGCAAGGCCGGACTGAGCCTCTGTCAAGCGTCTGGGCACGAAGGCAGCAGATTTTCTCTCCTCAGTTCGGGAAGCCACATGCTCACACGCTCACACCACTGGCCCCCTGATAAAGCTACCTACATCGACCAAGCAGGGTGATGCACATGAGTCCGAGGTGCAGCTGACGGCAGCTGGGTCAGAAGTTGTGTCAATGCAGCATGGAGGGCGCGCCAAGGCTGCTCCTTAGACACTTCCAGCTGGGGCTCAGGGTCTGGCAGACACACTGGAGCCGCGCCTCACAAACCGGCTGCAAGACTGTCAGCGCAGAGGCATAGTCTCCAAGCCAAATGTTCGTCACTACCTCCAGCGGTACAGCGACAAAACCCTCCTTATAAACGCCACTAACTTGCGGCATGTAGGCAACCTGTCTATGCACACTGGACCACCACCTGCCCCTTGGTTCGCCGTGCTCTCAGGAATCCGTTGGGCCTGCTCCTCCAGCTCGCACAAACCTACAGGAGCGGCCCGACCGCAGCGCCGCAGCCGATCGATGCACACCGTGCGATGCATGCGACGCAGCCATATGCAGCCCGAAGGGACTTTACTTTGCCTCACTACGGTGCTGTACACTGTCGCGAAATATCTTTGCTTCCCTGTGGCACCTGCGCATGGTGGAACGCTCAGAGCCGGTCAGGGTCGTCGCACGCGCTGCTGATACTTCCCTGTGGGCTGCTTACACGCTCGTGCAGCGCACTCGGCACGGTTTGGGTTGGCTTTACTCCGGCTGCCGTAGGGCTGAACTGTCCGGGGACATCAACTGTCGCACATCCCGCTTCCTCGCTACGGCACACCAGTTGCCAGTGTCGAAATAGCCTGAGGCTTCTGCGAAGCAGGCTTCCAGGCACACATCAAGCAAGAAAACGATCTTGCGCGACAGGATTGGGCTTGGTCGCAGGCTTTCCAAAACTTCCAATTCCGGCAACTGCTCCAACCTCAGAAGCCCCGGTCGAATGCGCAGGGTATGACACAGAGGAACAACAGAGCTTGCGACAGCTCTTGTAGCTCGCCCTCCCTGTACACGTGACAATATCTTTGGCCTCGCTTGCATCCGGCGGTCACACAGACTGTTGAGGTCTCGTACGTCTGGGCCCAGGGCACACAGGCGGTTTTTCTTCCCAGCTGCCGCCATCCTCGTCACCTGTCGCAACCACAGAGAAACAAGGCAAGCTTCGCTCCGCCAATCTAATGGACTGGCACAAGAAATCGCCAGCATTCGCCAGCTTTCGAAGGCCAGCAGAGGCTTGATTTCTGGGTCAGTTCTATGCGAGACCATTTCCCGATATAAGCTATAACATTTTACTCGGTCGATATCGTGTAGCTGTGCTAGGAATCCCAGCAAGTTGGAGGTAATGGCGTTTCGCAACCCCAAACCGAGCACTTGAACCTTTGCCTGCCCTCCAACCTTGCACTCTCTTCCACTAGATCTTGAACGTTCTGCATTTCCACTTTCAAGAACTCGAAAATGGGCTCAACAGAGGCCACATGCCTGGAACTTGCTACGCCCGATGCCCTCGTGCCTCCCATGCTATTGACATTGCACGCAAGGCCGGGTGCACACTCAGGAGCACCCAACCGAAAACCGTCGGTAATGAAAAAAGAAGCCCTGCGCCGTCTGCACAAACAATACCGGGAGGTGAAAAGAGTCCTCACCACAATCCCAGGAATACAGCGAAGCGGGTGACGGCCGCTGAAAGAAAAGGAATCACGATGTCAACGAATCTTCCCAAACATGGAAAACCAAAGTCACGAGCTTCCTACAGAAACCGGCCTACTGCAGAGTCCTTCGGCAGGGTTTCGTCATGGCCTCCCTTCGAGGTGCCTCCAGCTGCCTGCACAGGATGCATGACATGCCACCGAAATCTGCTAAGATAAAGCCAAGCCAGGCTTCGGAAAATCCTTCACTGCAGCACAGACCCACGGAAATGGCCGCCATGCCTTCTTCACGCCGGGCGTTCGGAAGCTCCAAGGCACCAAGACATCCTCCGACTTTCTCGCTCGCTTGTTCTCTCTCTCTCTCTCTGTCTCTCTCTCTCTCTCTCTCTCTCTACCAGGACCAGGACAGAGCAGGCAGGAAGGAACCCCCCCTACCCACTCGCGCCCGAGCGCGCACCTGCGAGTCACAGATGTTAAAGGTGCTTCCTCTGAAGAGTTCCTCTCCAGAGGCTCGGCTGTACGAAGGCCCTGGACCCTGAATCCCCCCAACGGAAGCGAGCTTCAGAACCAAACAAACTGTCTGCAACACTTACACCACTTGCGTTCCTGAGGCTCCGGCCGTGTTTCTGCAGGGGTATAATGACAACAACACCGTAGATTTCAAACAAAGCTCCCCCGGAAGGTGATGGATGACTGTTCCTGCTTGAAGTCTTGTTGTTCCCTTTTTGGACACGTGGCGGAGTCGAGTGTCCTCTGCTCCCCAACGTTGGTTTTAGACAAGCCCCCTCCGACTGCAACATGGTATAACTACATAAGAAACCCTGCTAGAGCTAGTACCAGCTGTGGAAGCACGTGAGCTCTGGGATTGTCTGAGGTCACCTTTTCGAGGGGCTTGTATAAAGCAACAGGGAAGTACTCTCTCTCTTCTTCCACACAGTCAAGAGCACGGCAGGCACCGCACTCTGCGCGCGTGCGCGCACTGGTTGTCTGGTTAGTACTCACTCACTCACTCTCTCTCTCTCTCTCTCTCTCTCTCTCTGCTACAAGCACGCTGCGATGCTGCAGCAAGTTGCGGGGCCTGGGCTTGGAACCGGTGCCGTGACCGCGATCGCTGGTCGTCCTGCCTGAGGCTTCATGCAAGTGCTTTGATCTCGTACTCTCGAATCCGGGTGGGCTCCGTGCTCGTAACTCCAACAGTAGACAAGGAGTTGACCGCCTGGTCTGAGCAAGCGCCTGGGTGCGAAGCCACTTCGTGCAAAACACAATAAGAATGGACTCTAAACCGTTTCTAAATCCCAAACCCTAAAGTCTTAACCGGCGACTGAGACCAGCGGCGCGGCTTCTCGCAGAGCCTGGCTAAGCGGCTCGGATCGGATACCAAAGTATAGATACTCTCTGCATATTTCTGCCCGCCTGTACTCGCCGAGGCTCGGTGGACAAATGATGTAAAACCTTTGGAGGTACACTACGACTGCGAGTAGCTGGTCGAGACTGTACAGTTGGGAGAGAAGGTATAAGGGCCAGGCAGCAATGGAAAGCACTGCATCGAAACTGCCACTGCGCAACGGCGCACACAGGCAGTCAGAAACCTTCACACGAGATCACCTCTTCCCATCTCTGAAGCTTCACGTGTGTTGCGGGCAAGGGGCCATGCAGCAGACTCCGTGCTCCTGCAAGCGCCAGCACATCTTGGACCATATGTTGCACCCGCGGCCCGCGGCTAAGAGCAATCCTTGGCTGCAATTTCTGCCAGTGGTCCGCTGATGTCCTTGGACTCGCGCAGGGCGGATTGGTGCACTGCCGCACACTCAGTAGGGCAGAAACGCTCGCCACCGGAAAGCATCCAGCTTCCTTGACATGTGGCCTCAATTGTCGCGGATATGCTTTGGCAAATCGGACCCACACAAGCATGGGTTGAGCCGCTTGCAAATTCTTGCCATTGCCTGCATAGTGCTGCAAGCGTGGTGTCGCTACTATGGTTGGCATCGCGGTGATAGTGTTAAAGAAACGGTCATTGCTTGCGGTGCTCACATGCGTGCAGTTCTGAAAAATCTGTCGCAAAGGCCCTGGCCACAACCAAGATCAGCAACCAAAGATCCACGCGGCAAGCCACGGATAAATGCCTGGGGGCTCTGCGGCAACAACGGCCGAAGACCTCACACCTCACAGTCCGCGGAACTTTGCATGAACCTGCCTCCACTTTGGGCCAGGCTTTGTAGCGCCTCAGGTTTCGGTTAAAGTCACAGTGAATCTGGAAATGAAGAACATCCTGAGCACAGCGACGTGTGGTTCCAGTGACTGGCAATCGCATCGTAGACTTTGTGCACGTTTTCCGCCTGTTGACAAACTGGCAGATTGAAAGGGCTACCGAAATGGTAGGGCAGACCTCGAGTGCCGGAGTGCGCAACGGATTCTCACAGCCTGTCTCAGGCACCTGATCTTTGCTGACGGCACGGGCGTAGCGGCAGGACTTAGCCGAGCTTGGCCCCAAGCAATCACTGCAGTCGTCTTCTGCTCGGGACCCTTGAGCTCCTGGAAGCCATGCGACAGAAGGGCCCTTCAGAGCAAGAGCCAGTGCACGATGCGAAAAGCTGCATGCAACGGCCTTTTACAGTCTCAAGCATCAGCATCACAGCTTCGCTGCTTCAAGAGGGATCTCATCTTCTATTGGCGCTATGGGAAAGACGTGAAACATCCAAATCTGGTTCCGCAGCGTTCTGCAACGGGCCTCACGGCTTGTGCGAAGTGCCGTGATAGAACTTCCTTGGTCAGGATCTTTCATGCCCAGAACTGGAACTTGGGCTGCAAGTCTGAGATACTGCAGGAAAGCAGCCACTTGTTGAAGTCACCTGCACAAGCCGGCACTGTCGGGAATCTGCCGCGCGATTTGACACCCCAAGCTTTCACAGCCCGGGCCCGATGTTGTGCATTCTACAACAAGAACGGCGACTCAAATGCCAAGACACACTCCGGCGCTTCGATGGTTGGATCGTCCGGATACTTCTTTGCAAACCTGAGTGTGTGCACAGCCACGAAACCGATACCGTCCCCATGCCGTTGCCGATTGAAGCAGGGAGACATGTCTTCCAGCTTCTTGGTCCGCCATTCACAAAGCATTGCATCAAACCTGTCGCTTCAGGACAAGAAGTTGCATCTTTCGGCCAGCAAGGTCTTGGAAAGCTACATAGGTGCCGTCCCCGCACCGTCCGTCCCAGAAGTTCAAGTGGACACCCTGGTCGATGACTGGATCGTATTCCTCGGATAGCCCAGCAGTGGGCACTCGATCGACTCCACCCGATTTCCTTGTTCATGCACGGGAAGCGCTGCTGCCGATTGCAGCTGGGTTTCGCGTCCGCCGACCTTGATGAAATTGGCATAGTTGCCAGTCTCCTCAACTTTGCGATATGCACGGAAATGCAAGGCCAGACCTGGCAGGTCTCCTCTGTGATGCCGACCAAGTCATCGATGCGGATCTCTCCAGCAGGAGCGATTTGGTAGGTGCAGTCTCCTGCCATTCCGGCGACACGCCCTAAAGATCTTTCTACGACACCTCGCTGCACGTCGCCTGATCCATCTGGGAGAATACCCTCGGGACACTGGCCACCCGGCTGAGAGGCCTCAAGCAGTCATGACTCCGCAACCCGTTCCAAGGCATTTGCCCAAACGCCCTTGGCCCAGCTGTGCCTTGCAGCTTGCACTTTTCGCGTCCAGCTTGCCGAAGGGGCATGGGCCCGGCAAGCCTCACGACAGGACGTCTACCAATGGGGGGACATCCGTTTCTTTCTCAGCTAAGCTCCCGACTGAACCATGCAGCATTCGGATAGAAGTTCAACTTGTTCCTGTGATCGCTGCATCTGTGTAAAGGCGACTTCATGCTGAGTCCAAAAAACTATGCTGCGGCACCTATATACAGCGTACAAAGCTCCGCCTAACATCACATTACTTCAAGCAAGGAGCCACTTCTGATGTGGGAAGTTCGCAGCTGATCCTTCAACCCAGTTCTCGCAGCCAACCGTGTACCCAAAGCGCTTAAAGTTCTCGCAATCGAAGGGGCCAGTGCACTCTGTAATGTCGAACTCGTTCATAACCTTGCACATTGGCAGCCCAAACACATTGGAAGCAAGCAATTGAAAGTGTGTGGATCGCCCTCACGGCCAGCGTCAGGGACCGAAATAGTTCGCTGTGGCGATGCTTTCTTTTGGGGTGTGTGCCTTTTTCGAAGCATGTGGGGTAGGGGCTTGAAAGTGCCGTTGTCACAAGGGTTGGACCCACGGGATTTCATGTGTCGAGCGTGTTGCATCGAACTCGCCTCGGGAAAAGTCCCAATGATTGGTCTCGTCGTGGAGAGCATCACGGAACCCTTGTGACGCATGTTGATAACTATGCTGCCGATCAAAGTCACTACGATGATTCTGTAGGAAGAATGATGCTAACCTGCTAGTCATGACCATGCGCATTGTCACCATCGCTCCTGGCATCGATTAGTTGCTTCATCTGCTCGTCAAGATTTCATCGACCGCAAGTACTATGGGCAGTACGACGTATGAATTTCCAGCCCGACACTTCGAGGGACTTGCTCCCGACACCTTCTGCGTTCCCACCTCGCACTCTTTGGAGAGCTGAGGTACTGCCACTCAATCTGCTTTCAGTCTAGATGTGCACCCCACACACAGGCTTCCGGGGTGCAAGGTTTTACAACCCCGACTCGAGACCGCAAGCTCTGTGAACGCCGTGTGGACTTGCTCTTGGATCGCATTTCTCAAATGCAGTGTTCCATAACCAGCCCCCTGACCTGACGAAGAGAAACTAAGCCATCGACGCCGAAGTTCATGCCGAGGTCGTACAACGGCTGTGTGGCTCGCGTCCACACTTTGTACCGACGAATTCGCGTTTTCGGGTCTGCAAAATTCGTACCAGCTCGCGACTTGGCATGCCAGACGATCTCGTTGTGCAAATAGAACATGGCTGCACCAGCCGTCGTCACGTCAGCATTTGCACAACAGCTATAGTTGGCATCACTTTGAACCCGGTAGAGATGGAACGTCATGAGCGGAGCAGTACTGGCGTTCACCAGCGCTGGGTTTCTCACGCGGTACTTAGGATTGTAGGAGGACGTATACTCCTTTGGTGGGGGTGGTGGGGGTGGCGCGGGGGCCGCATGTGTCAGGCCATGACAGTTGAACTGATGGCCGTACTCCGGCTTAATGCGCACCCCGTTCCGCTTCCAGCATATCCACATATACCAACCTCTGTGCCGATCGCATCTGCAGTCTCCTGCACACAGCGTGACAGCATACAGTTGAAACCAACTACCCTCTACTACCTGACAGATGGCAACAAAACCAAAAAATATCAAAAAGCATCCCACTTGATCAATCCTTTCACAAAGCCATACTTCAACCAACAGCTTTCGTGGCAGTAGAGGAAGCTGCTGTTAGATTCTTCCAGGGAGACTTCGGAAGAAGACTCACCTGCGGGTCAATAGAGGTGCCGAACACGTGAAGAAGGCAAAGCAGGTTCTACCCTGGCCTTGCACCGCGCGTCTTTGCAAAGCCTGCAAGGCACACTCGGAGCCGTCGCTGCCGTTGCACTCGTCGTCTTCGGCGAAGGGAAGCGACGCAGCAGGAAGGAGCAGGCCCAGCAGGGCGAGCGGGGCCCCCAGGCGAAACATCACTGCCCTCGCAGAGGCTTAGAAATCAAAGTTTCAATGAGCGACGCTGCACTAATGTCGGAGTCTCTTCATTGCTTCAAAGCTTGTTATTTGTTCAGCACTTTTCACGGGAAGATAGTCTGTTGAGCCCAGCAGCGCAGATCAGACAGAACATGCCTCCAAAAGCCAAGCACTGAACACGGAGAAGGCGAAGCTTGCACAAGCCATGTGAGAACAACAAAATCTTAGGCACACGAGAGTAGAAAGCCCAGCTCGCTTGCGCCCGATGAAACGGATCAATGCAATGATGTGCGAAAGTACAAACATATGAAAGTCCCATGGTACAACAAGCACGTAGTTTGTGGTACCATTGGCACCATGTAGCCACCTTCGGATGAACCTTTACTTGTGTTTGCCTGACACTTTTCTTCCTTGGAGAGCAAAGCAGCATCTGTGATTCGACGACCAGAGGCTAAGGAGCTGAGTCATCTCAACACAAACTCCAAATCAACTCTTGTCAAACATGGTGAAAGCGGGGGGGAACAAGGGGCTAACATAAGGCCAGACATTTCCCTGCTACAGTGAGCCCCGGTCCTGCCCACTAGGTCCACGCCGACCTGCACACAAAAACTCTCCCACATCGGCCATGCCTGGGTCGTCCCAACAGTGTCAGCGCCTGATGCTTGAGAAGCTGAGTTTGCCTGCAAGGCCTCGGCTTCGGAAAATGCTCAGAAGCCCAGAGATGTCTGGTTGCCCAAGGCCTGTGCCTTTTTCTTCTGAGACCTGGGCTGTCGGATGCTATGGCATCATTTCACTATACGTCTATTCGCTAAGAATAGGGTCACGATGAAGATACCATAGTAAGGCCAAGAAGGCTATCGCAAAGATATTTCAGGTTGCCGGAAGATTCCATGCAGTACGTAAGATTGTTCTTGACCATCAAACCTTCAGTTATGATTTTACCCCGCAGCTGAGCACCGAGCCTTTTGCCTCCGGAGCGTGGCTCGGCTCCTGCCGGGCTCCGCTTGCTGCTGCTACTCCAGTAAGAGTAGGAATAAGCGTACTACTGATGATGTTGATGCTACCACCACCACCACCACCACCACCACGACTACTACTACTACTACTACTACTACTACTGCTACTACTGCTACTATTATTACTACTACTACTACTACTACTACTACTACTACTACTGCTACTACTGCTACTATTACTACTACTTCTACTACTACTACTACTACTACTACTACTGCTACTACTACTACTACTACTACTACTACTACTACTACTTGACGCGTCATCTTGGTAGTCTTGCTGTACAAATGGCGCAAGTGGTGCAAGACTACCGTCATCTTGCCCCCACCAAAATGACGAAGATGATCAAGATTACCAAGATGACGACGAGAAATAGCCGCTCTACTAATTAACAAAGAAGTGCACCGAACGCCCTGGGTGTACTCGCGGGCTGGAGATCCCGAACATGGCACTGCACGTGCCTGCAACATTGGCCGGAGCCTCCGGGAAGAGAGATGGTCAAAAAACAGAGGAGCATGGGCAGAACTGCTCTTTCTGGCCTCGACAGCTTGCGCAGCGAGGAGCCGACGGCAACTCGCCGCAAGGGTGCTCCAGCATCTCCAGCCATCCCCGAAGCACTGCATGGGCTCTGGGCTCAGTGTCACAGAGACTTTGGGGAAAACAAAGCGTTTCGGATTCGTGGTGACTCTGTTTGGTGCCACTGCTCTTGCGTGAGTTTCGTTGGTAAGTGCAGAGCTTGGCCAGTACGGCCTCCAAGCCCGGAAGAGGCCCGGTAAAGTGGATTTTCGCATGCACAAAGGCATCATGCAGCTGGCATCTGTCCTAAATCACAACAGGCAAAAGAAAGCAAAGCTTGGCCGGGAGTCATGCGGCGTACCGACAGCACGTTCATCTCACGGCCACGGACCATGCCCTTGACGAAGCTCTTCATCATCGACTGAATCTTCGCCACCTTCTGCAGTCATGTATATTCATGTATAGCGAAGCTCAAGAGGCAGAAGACAGGTTACGAGTATCCAGAGCTCGGCAAGTGCGTCCACATGCGCCTCTCTCTGATGCAGCGGAATCTGATCGTTGATGAACTCGCTGCCGATACTGCTTGCGCCTGCGATCAAATCAAACCGCGAAGCGAATCACGACTCGACGACTGCAAAGTCGCTCCCCTGCGCCCTCCGGTCTCGACGCCCCTGGAGCCTGAGTACACGCTCCTGGTGCTGTTCTTCTGCGTACTCGCAGCGCTCGCGGTCTGGCCAAGGCAAGGTCTCCGGCCCCAGCTTATCCCAAAGCTCCGGCAGTCCGGCCTCCAGGTTTCCGAGCTGGTCCACAACCTGCAAAATTGCTTAAAAACAGCTTCTGGGTTTCAGCCTCTGTCAATGCGCTCAGCTCAGCATTTTCGTCTCTGGCAGACGGTCCGTCTGCCGAATCGCTACCGATCGCCCTCGTCGTTCAAGTTGGCAACGGTGCACCAGGTCTCTCGTGCGGGCTCGACGCGTCATGGCAGATCACCGCAACTGCCTCCAAGTCGTCCGTTCTTTCATGGCGCGCGCAGCCAACGTTGTCCATGCCGAGCATCCCTCAACGCAGAACATCCACCACCCGTCGAATCGTTCCAGCCAATCTCCTTTGCCGGCGCACTCTCCCAACATCTCCCAACTGTTGCAGTTACCTGATGCCTCTGTCCCTGTTTGTCTGCCCGTTGACAGCAAGGCAAAAAAAGCGACAAATGATTCCAAGTTCCGAACTCTGCAGCAGTGTCTCACTGCTAGCTATCTTCAACTATGTTGCGGCCAGGGCTCTTGGAAGGTTATAAGTTATATATACGTCAGCTCCACTGATACTGTAGTTGCTCCAAGCACGCCTGCCACGCACAAAGAGCATTTTAAAAACGTACAGTAAAGAGTATAGAGTGCCAGGTTTCTCTGGACCTCTGCTGCCGCCGGCGAGCCGCCCGCAGCTTGCAGCTTTGCACCGAGCTCCTCGGAGCGCAGGCGCTGCGAAGCCTCCCAGGAGTGTCGAACGAAGAGTGCGCGGTTCCCTCAGACCCAGTCTCCTTCTTAAGACATTCTGAGCTCGGAGCTGCAGCGCTTCCAAACATTGCAGCATGTCCAGCCTGGCAGAAGCCCAATAGACTGTGCTCCAAACGGCTTCCAGGCTTTCGGCCGGCCTGGGCGATGGCTCCAGCTGGAGCCTCCATGGGCTTCCACAACACGACGCCGGCACCACTCCCTCAGAAAAATACGAGGAACGATCGTTTCCATGCCCGAAACCGTGCCGAGGAGCTCTCGATGAGCTTGGCCATTTGCTGATGAGCCTGGAAACACAGAGAGCTTAAAGCTCTCTGACGAAGGCAAGTCAGTCTACACCTGTGTTTGCAGCTAGAAGATGCACTATGTGCTTCGGCCGAGTGTCTGAATTGCAAGGGATGAGCACCAGGGGTAAGCCAGCCACTAAGCCTTCCATCACACTGTTGCCGCCACCGTGCGTGATGAATGCACTCGCTCTGGACAACGCATCCATCTGCGCAATACCTGCAATGAAGAGCCACAGCACAGAGACAGCGGCAAGTGTCATGAGCAAATCGAAGTATGCAAACACACACACACACACACTGATCTTAGTTATAACATGGCACCGTCAATTTGCCGTGTCGGAGCGTGGCTACTGGAAAACTATAGCTCTAGGGCTTTGGAAGGCATGTCGCTTCGGCGCGCGATGAAGTTGCCCGGGATTTTGCCGAGTCCTTCGCAGGCATCAGGCTGAGGGCCGATAGAGATCACCACACGGACGTCGTTGCGGCCACGGAAGTTTTCGACCAGCTCACGCCAGACTCGTCGGCTGAAGTCACGTCCCGTGACCGGGCCAGACTCTGACTTGTGCAATGCGTTCCAGCCATCCCCGACGATGTGGGACCCAAGGCTGACGACCAGAATCTTCACTCCACCAGGCAAAGGCATCCGCCAGGGGCAGTCAACTGCCGAGACATCACTTGGTAGTCGGTGCAGTTTATTGGCATCTCTGACAAACACCCCGTTAATGTGGTATGTCTGATTTCCGGTGAAACCAACCCACACGAATGCAAGCTCCTTCATCCAGGACTGGTCCAAAGTTTCCTCACGTTCGATCTGAGGAATTGAGACGACAATGTTCAAGCAGCGGCTGAAGTATCTGCATGGCAGAAACTCCTTGAGGCAATTAGTACCAAACTCATCCTGTGCGATTGCGTTTGCAGCCTGTACGCTCTCATGCTCCACAACGGCCCCCGGCCAAGACCCTCGCTGCTCATCCGACAAGCAGGCTGGATAGCGGTCCACCAAGAAGCACGGGACAACAGCAACACATGGTATTCCGAGCTTGGTTGCAACAAGACGCGGATGCAGGTCTGCAACACTATAGATGACGAGTGAGGGGACCCACGCGCCCGGTGCTTCCCACCGCTGCAGCAATCGTCTCGCCAGGCAAACTCCGGCCGGTAAGGCATAGAAATATCGCTCTAACTCCATATACTCCTTCACCAACGTAGGTACTTTCTCCGAGTGAAAGAAGCTCTGCGCATCTTGAGCAAGCAGATCCGGCCAGCAGCCACAAAAGTCATCGAAGAGCTCCGTCGCGGCGCCCGTTTGCTGAATCGCTTCCTCAAATGCAGGATCTGCGATGTAATACCGCACCTCACACTTACGCTGAACCAACTCGGAGACTATCGGCAGGAATCGGTTCACGGTCCCAACTAAGGACGAGCTGAGCACGGCTACACGCGGGCATGCCATTAAGCCAGACCATGGGCACCTCTTCTTGACAGAGTCATGGGTGGAACACACACTTCCAAGGTGATCAGGGCTGCGGCTACTTGCATCTGCAATGGAAGGACTTGCTCCTGCTGTTTTGAGGGCTTCAAAGTTCTGAGATCCAAGTTAGAGGTCGGACTTGTGAGCCTGAAGCACTTGCGGAGCCAGATGCAACAGCACGTTGCCATCAACAAGAAAACAGATGACTCAGATGACAGGGCCCACAAACAATGGAGAGCAGAGTTGCAAGGAGGCGAGAGTGAAGTGAGACAAGCACGGCAGGAATCAGACATCAGGGCCTTCTTGGACAGGCGAGGAACCTCGGCATGCACAAATGCAGAAAGCAGTCCGAGTATAAAACGATCCCGGGGTCTGAGGATTTCTGCCATCGGGGTGCGATCCTTGTGACAATCTTGTGTCAATCGTCGTTTTCTCTCGCATTCGAAGTCAGTGACGTTGTTTATGTGCCGGCAGGGATGCAGGATGCGGTTCGCACCGGATCACAGCCCACCCCTCCAACCGCAGGGGAAGGGGAAAAACGAGGCGAAGGGTGCCGCATAATAGCAAGCCGACAGAGGGGGGGGTGTGGGAGGGCACTTCAAGCCCAAGATCAAACATGGCTCTTCTCCATGTCTGGGACAGCGACTGATGCTGCAGCTGCAGTCGTGCCAGAACCTCAGACGACCACTCTGCACCTGACTCCTATTGATCGAAGACGGCCCACTGTTTGGGGCCAGCATGTATGAACAGTGAGGGCAATGAGGACCTTTTCGAAAAGATGTTCTCCTGCATTCTGCGATATGCTCTGACATCTTTGCAGAGCAGTACCGGCGCCGTCGCACACCACTTCACTACCGCTTCACCAACCAAACCATGAAGACGAGCTCTCCTGCAGGTGAGGGCGTGGCGTCCCGAAGGTGTGACCGGTTCCCTACTGGGCCAGCAACCTGCCTGCGATTTAAACTGCTGCACACGTAGGGGTCGCGAAGAACCTGTGGTATGTCGCATTGCCTTGTGGCCTTGTGAAAAAAAAGGCAGTAGTTATCTGTGTCCATGCCTCCGGCATGAGGATAAACACCCACTTGCCCTTGCAAGGCCTCATGCAACTGAGGGAGTAAGACAAGCCGAACAGTCGAGGTGTTTCAGTTTGCCATACCGAGGCCAGAACTGCTTTTGCCGAGTCGACGTCCACAAACGTGACCTTGTGCCATCGGGTTGGCGACTGAGACTTCAGAAGTTGATTCATTAATGCTCGCATGTTCCAAATTCCGGTTTTCCAGATTTCCTAAGTCCGTCGCGAGATAGCTGGAGTCAGTCCCAGTAACCGTCTTGTCCAGCCTGCAACTCTGGAACACCCGTTACCCACCCAGCCTGCATGGCTGGATGCGAGGTCCCTCTTTTGTGTTCCATGTGTGCGGTAGCTGAGGTCCTGCTAACGACATGGACTGCGCAGCAGCCTGCATCTATGGGCATCGATCATCCTGTCCGATGCCCCACAAGGCATCATGCTCTCATTCCGGCAGATTTAGCAGGATGTCGAGCACGCAGCAGCAGCACAAAATGCCGCTAGAGATGGCCAGAGCGGCAGAAATCCTCGGAGACATCTTGCGGTGACAAATTGGGCTTGTCAGCATTTGTCTGTGATGGAAGTGCTTCAGACAGGTATCTTTTTGGACACCGCCTGAAGGGCCTCCTCATCTTCTGTGATGAGGCTGATCTGCACACGCTTCAAAGATGATCAAATCCGTGCACTGCTTGGGTTGTTTGCAAGTTGCCGAAATTGAGGCATCAAATATTTGTCAACCCACATATATACTTCAACCAGCCTTCATCTGGCGTGCCATTTCCAGTGTCTTGTTGTTCTCTTCAGCACAAATGCAGCTGTACTTGTAGTACGTGGACGCAGCCTCGGTCTGCCAGTAAGTGTTAAGGTCACGAAACCACTGCCAGGAGTCTTGCAGACAGAAAATGCCAGCCTAGATTGCAGCGGCTTCCTCGGTCGCTAAACTTGAATTCAATTCTTCTGCCGTGCCTGCCTCGCATTTTTCCCATCCTAAGAAACCCTCATGCCTGACAGCGTGCAATGTTCCAATGCATACAGATGTTTGCCGCAATGTGTTGTAGTGTCATGCACTAACACCACTGAAGAGTGAACAAACAAGTACACTGTGTCATGAGCCTAACTTACTCCAAGGGACATGCTACTGCGAAATGCGATGATTCATGAGCGGCAACTCAATTAGCGGCTCTCATGTGCCGAAACTTTATATCAAAGTTTCAGCAATTCTCCAGGGTTTATTCGCAAGGTGCTCTCCCGTTCGCATACTCGTGATGCAATGTGGATGTCCAGCGTCACGAAACAGCAGTAGTGGCGCATGGCCACACACGCAAACACACACTGCATGAAAACCAAGACGGCCTAAATCTTGAAACTTGCATGCCGAAGCGCCAGAAACGGTAAGGCATCAAAGACTAGTTTAAAAGATCAAAAAGGAACTGTTTGAGGGATCCAGAAACTACTCCTGAATATATAAGCAAAACAAGGGTAGGCAGTATGCACATATCTATATACAGGCATACAAATCTGTGTGTACATATATATATATATATGTAGATATATATGGCCGCGCGACCGGCGTTCCCGGCCCGCCCCCCCCCCCTGGTATGGTCTGGTAGGGGTGGGGTTGTGCGGCCAGGCGTCACAGGGAGGGCCGGGTCAGGCCGGGATCTTACAAGGCCTACGCAAGCCATAAACCCTATAAG